CGAAACCCGAATTCTAGCGTTGTAAGTCCGCAGACATACCGCTGTGCCACTGGGGGGCGTTCTATTAAGGACAGTTTATTGTACTTGTATTGATTATGTAACAAAATGATTGTCTTAAAAAAAGATATCAAGGTAGGTTAATTTATAATAACAATAAATGATTTTGTATTTGCTATAGCACAGCATATTGTGTAGCTTTGTGCTTAACGACAACCAAACCCTCTTCTTGTACTTGAATATCATATTAATAAACAGGATAGAGATTGAAACACTTATCAAGCTAACAAATCCTGTTGCAATTCATCTATCTAAATCATCATTTGACAAAATTATGTATATGTGTGTTCGCTTATGACTGACAAGCTTTGGGACCGATTGTCACAAAACTTTACATATGCCTTGATAAACTACAGGAAAGGCAACTAGTCAACAGCATTCATTGCCAACGTTTGGACTTTTTTAACCGACAGTTACTCTCATAACGCACTCACTATCCGCGATTTTGCGACAACGGTACGCGAACCATGAAAGCTCGGATCCACAGTCTGGCACACAAACCATTAGGATACGCCTGAGGCGTAAGACAACACAGCGCAATAAATAATTACAAGCAAAATGTGCATACTTTACAGAATAATAACTACAAGGATGCTCTTACCATGGATTTAGAGAAAGAAATAATAAAAGCATGAGAATTACTGCGTCTTTTTTGCCTTTCTTTCTTAGTCTGTACATCTTCCTCGCTGTTGTTTGTCAATCTTGAATATGACGACCGTTCACTGATGTACCGAGATTCCGGACTGAGTGCTGTCCAGATTTCAGGTTGTTGGTTTTAAGTTTCTCCTCCATGAAGTTACAAGATACACTGTCGAACCGAACGACTCAAAGCTATCTTTCTATGGGTTTTCTACACAAACCTCTCGTTCCGTTGAGTGGATTCGTTCATCCAAGTACCTTGTCCTGCGTAGTAGTGACATCAGTTCAATGGAATGAACGAATGGCAGAAATTAGTAACAGTAGAAGGGTATCTTTATAGGAAAATATTTCTGGATTAAAACTAAAATACTTAATTTTAGAACAGCAACATTAATTACAAAATATCATGCAAACATGAAACTTGTATAATAACAATTGAAATTAATTTAAGGAGTTATCGTTGAAGAGATACCTATATATGTTATTTATTATACTGGCTAAGTATCAAAATGGCTAAGACACTCCAGGAAATGAAATCTGCTATGATTTTGTGTAAAATAAACTGGCTTAAAAGTGTTTTAATGGTTTGACTTAGGGTAAGAAAGAACATGTTGTATTTTCTCTGAATGATTAATATTGTTTGAGTTAAACACTTGAAAACTTGACCAATGAATAATGGAACTGCCATCAAACTTTTAACATATATATATATATATAAGTCTTCCTTACTTACTTCCAGAAGAAATCTTGATAAATGAAAAATAAAACAACTGAGGTCATGGACAATCTACATATTTAAGCACGGGGTACTATTTTTTGTAGAAAGTATGAAATTAAAAACTATATGGAACGACAAATCTAAAAATTAACAGCATAAATAAACAAAATGTACCAGTTATAAAATATGCTTTCATGGCTTTCTGGCATTACTCACCGGGTTCTGAAATACAGTGTATCAATACACACGGTAGTGTGTTGTGCGATCAAACAACCTGCTGCAGAACATACTATGTTATTAACAGAATGATAGTTTAGCGATATTCCGCCTTCTGTATTTCAGACTGTGGTAATCCCAATTATCGCATATTTCCAGTGGGTGTGATCTATTGGACACTTACTTCGCATACCAAATTTCAAGGCAATCCAATAAGAAATGTCTGAGATATATCATCTCCAATTTTGATTGAGTTTCTTCCTATTTGCTTCGCACTGAAAGTGCGGAAACTTTATTTGATAGAAAAATATATTTAACTTTTATGGGTTTTTTTCACACTTGGAAAACAGATGGATCTTTTCAACCAACAGTTACGGGTCTCACTTGGTGTAAATATAAGCCACATGTTCAAAGTTATTTAACAAAAATCACTCAAATTTGACGAAATTTTTTTTCGCACGCCTACGCAAAACATCACGTGAGCTATCGGTCTAACATTTTTACTATAACTTCAACTAAGAGTAAAAGTGGACCTTTTTAGTTTGTATTTTTGTCATTCGGATTAAAGATGACTGATTTAGAGTAGCAAAACTATAAGGTGAAAGGACGTTGCAGATACGTAAGTATTAGTTAGGCCAAGCAAACTAGATTAGCAGCTCAAGTTTTCAAAAGAATCATACGGGCGGACGGTTATTATTCACTATACATTGCCAAGTTTCAAGCATAAATTTCTTAAGTGTTATGAAATTATCATATTAAAGAGCGTTTAGCGTCACGTGATGTTAGCTTAAGCAATTAGCATAAATAATGATGGTTGATACAGTTGTACCGATTGCATGGGGGGGGGGGTGAGGACAAGAAACTGTTAATCTAAATTCCACGGCGTTACTGTAAAGGAAGCTTTTGACAGTTTTAGAGAGGACAAATTACCACTATTTATCTTAAAGATTCTGGTTGGTTCTGTAAAGTAAAGGTCTGTTCCGAATAATAGAGTTGCGATCCTAAAGCTAATGTTGGTTACTATCGAGTATCACATTCTTACTTGCTGTGGTTTGTTGGTGTGTATTAACAAAAAGTCATGATATCTAATCAAAAACACCTTAGGTGTGAAAAAAGAGGTGTGGCCAATAAAGAATTGAGTGTGTGACTTAAAAAATGAAATCAAAATTGGCAGCCAAACTGGTAGCTACACTTATAGCATTGATAAGAATTTTACAGCAAATATTCATTCATTAGTTAACTAGGCCGAGTAATTTGTTTTACCCACCATCTTGCCCCGAAAAACGCGAAAAATGTGAAAATTGTAATCAAATTTATTGAACGGTAATTCGTAACTCTTGAATGGTGAGAACAATTGTTGTAGTTTTTTTCTCCTTTTTATAATTCAAAACCAATTATATTATTATTATAGTATACTACAAGTTCATATTTACCTATTTTTGTCTCTCTAGAAATAAAGTGAATAAAACGTGGTTTTGAATTATGAATTGATATATGTTCCCATATAAATATGTGTTCTATATAAATTATTTCTTTAAATTTGAATTAATCTACATCCAGTATTCACTTTTTTTCCATTTCTTTACGAAAGCTATAATTAAAATAGTCCAAAGGTCAAAGTTCACGATCGCTTTCAAGTTATGTTTTTTTGCTCATGAATGCTCAAAACTGTAAGATGAAACTCTGATAATGTGCCTCTCAACTTTTTCTTGCCATTATTGAATTACCAAACAACACAGCAGTAGTAATATAACTAAATTAAATAAAACATCCTACTGTGGGTCATTACTGCATTAGGTGTTTCAGTTGTTATGAATAGATAAGTGAAAAACTAACATTAAGAATAACTTCAAACACAATAGAAAAAACACTGAACATAGCAATGAATGATTTCTATTAAACCTGGAAACAACAAAAAAACAACGAGTAAATATAGAATAATATATTCGTTATTGGCAAGAAGTTTCGTAAGGAAAAACCTATCTATAAAGTTAATTGGAATCTGTATTGGTATTTTCAGCCTTAACGCAATATTACGAGTACATGAACTTAACGAGTAATTCAAATACCCTTTCTAAGAAACATTATTGTAAGTGGAAAAGCCGATAAGTAAAAAAAAGAAGCTCCGGGACAGGGGCTTGAATCCAAAACATTTGGCTAACAGGGGCAATACTCTGTCAAACTGAATTATTCAAGAGGGTTCAGGTATAACCAGCCCTCATTTTGAATTATTGACCAAACGAATGGTTAGCATTATCCACTGTCACAAGGACTTTCTTTGTCTAGCTTTGAACTGAATAACAAGATTAACTGTTACTTTCATAACTCACGCTCTTTTGCAAAATCGCAGCACGCTCACCGCCATATAAATATAAATCTTGAACCCACAGATCCGTAGCCCGGCACGCTAACTACTAAGCCACGTTGGCTCTTTGGGAAGTAATATGGCGAATAATAAGAGAACATCTGGAGGCATTAAAACTTAAGGAATCAAAAGCTTCAGAGTATCGAAATGGACAAACCAATTACAGCTATATATGTAATGTCTGAGAAAAACCGCCAAAATTAGTTAATATTCTACTTATGTTTCACTTGTGATATTTATCGGCAATGCAATTTAAGGTACATTGACTCTTGAAATGATGTGTCTGTGGACCACTGGGAAACGTAGATTGTGCAACATGCTTGTCTACATAATATTCGCAAGAGAATATGGTGTATAAGATAAAAGGTTTTGTACATTAAGCATACGAAGGCAGTAATAATCAGTTATTGAAATAATGGAAGTGCTGCATTCGATACGGTATCGATATTAGTAATAATAATTATATACAAAACTATTGCTCCATGACTCTAGTAAAAACTAGTCACTAAATACAGAACTTTTTGACAATCACTGGAGATTCGTCCTCCTTTTCTTATATCCATATGTCCAAACTTAAGTACTAAAGACACATTACATTGAATCAAATACATTATGGTCGAGTGCAGTACCTTTGATTTTCATGTGTTAAAACATGGAAAATTTAAATATTTGCAAATTTCTGCCTTATAATTATAGCACATTTTGTAGTCACTATTATTTTTTGATATACAAGTAAATATTGTAAGTTATGAAACATATTGGCAAATATATAGTATTCTACGTTTAATGGCAAATATTGGGCTAGATTAGCGAGTTGTCAAATGTCTTTCAAAGAGATTTTAAATGGGGAGACGAAAAAAATTTCTAAGAATGGTTTAAAATTGAATGCAACAGTTTAAAGTTTGCTTGTTTATCTGAAGTTCAGCACAAAGCTACACAATGGGCTATCAGTGCTCTGCTCATTGCGGGTATCGAAACCTGGTTTCTAGCGTTGTAAGCCCGCAGATATACCGTTGTGCCACTGAGGGAGCACAATTTAAAGAGAAAATACAAACATTCTCGTGTAGCCAGTTTTGAACTTTCAATAGGATAAAGCAGTGTAATTTGTTTTCTCGAGCTCATCTTTCGTTTGTCTTTATTCATTTGTGTATTTTTATTGTTCTCTTTTAAATATAGAAATGGGTTTATAATTTACAAAAAAAATCAACAACTTTGGGAATAAATCCCTTCTCAATGAGTCGGAGAGTCGCGTTTGTTATTTCCTGCAATTGATTGCAGCTTGTTATAAAAGCTATAAATAAGAAACTAAGTAAATATCAATGGCAGAGCCGGCGCGACCGTGGGTGCAGCACGTACATTGCACAGGGCGTAATTATGTAGAATTCCTATAATGGCGGAAGAGCGCGGATGGGCGATACAGTCAGCGTTTGCACAGGGCGGTAAAACACTTCTCGCCGGCCTTGATCAAAGGTTATAGACAGAAGTGGTGTTTTATATTGTATTTCAACAAGAAAACTGGAACTTGTTATAATTTCAACTGCTATTTTTCTCTAAAAGTCTTGAAGTAGTAGTTATAAATATATTTCACAATGTTAGCTCAGCTTATTTTTAATTAACGCTACTAAATATTGCTAACGTGGATTGTTTCTTATTGAGAACTGGTTCGTAGTACCAGCTCAGATTATCGCTCAATGAGAACGTGCTGTTCTCAATACTGATCAAACAGTTAGCGTAGCTTGTTTCTTACTGAGAACTGTTTCATACTATTAGCTAAGCTTGTTACTCAATGAGCACGTGCCGTTACACATTTTCATATATTTTTTTATTTACGAATAACGATTAAAACTGTTTGCTTATTTGGTT